AATGCATGTGTGTATATATGTATGTATACATATTTAATTAAGACCTCTGCAAACTGCAAGGGACAAATAACGTGCCATGTTGTCAGAGTTTCAAGGGCGACATATCTTTTTTTTGTTTTGTTTTATGGTCACGTGGAAAGTTTTGGAAAGACGTTAACTTCTTCGTAGATGGCATTGCATGACCAAACAGCCCACTGAACCCATCGGTAATGAAATATATCCAGGACACACTTTAAAAATACCGCGCAAATTGCGAGACCAATGACGTCACAGGGCTTATCCAATGCAGGCGCTCCAAGAAGTGCCAGAAATCACTAGATAAATAATTATTTGTATGGATGACTCGATAAATTTACAATTTCTAGATGCAAAACAAAATCCCACGCTTGTGTTTATGATAACAGGGTGCTCCATACCATAAACAAGTGTCCGAATTATCTAGGAAAAGCCTAGATAATTATATATAGATAAAAGATAGATAAAAGCTCAACATCGGGGGGTGTTTACGTACTGGAATGGCGGGTGGCTGTTCCGTTTGCTCTCCACCTCCCGCTTACTTCCCAGCTGTCACCCAATGAGACGATTTCTTATCTATTATCCGAGAACGATGGAGGAAGTGAAGAAGAAAGAATTAAACGTTTTAAAAAGAAGGATTGTTTTTTCTTTTTTTCTTTTTGGTTCTAGAATTCGAAAGAAAAATGTCTAAACAGTAGGTGTGGAAATATAGAAATTTGGAGCGAAATCTTTCTCCTTCTCTCAATCTCTATTTCTCTCTGTATTTATGTCTATCTCTGGCTGAGGCTCGGTCTATGCCTCTGTCTCTGTCTGTCTTCTTTCTTTCTTTCATCTCACCATCATCACCACACAATGAAAATAAAGACAAATGAAACACTGCCCTTTTTTTGCCATATTTTATTCATTTTGCTGTACAATGTGGCGCGTACACATTGGCTGCCTCGACCCGGATTTCCCTCAGGTCGAGAAGTGGCACTGGTAGGAGCGTGTGTCTTGGCGGGGGGGGGAACTCGACCGAGGGAGGGGGAGAGGGGGGGGTGTTGGCCCCTCGGCGCCGGTGCTCTCGGCTCAAGTTGGGCTCAAGAATTTGGTCTCGAG